CGTCGAGATTTGACAAATCTCTCCAAGGATCCGTTAATCAAGGGCAGTCTATTTCGTGGCTCAAAGGCACTGGGGAAGACCACCTCATATCCTATGGTGGAACGAATATTCCAGTCTTATATTCAAGATATACTCTTTCAGGGATCCAATAGACAGGGGCATCCATCCTCCTTACTTGTGAATGTGCTCAAGCAATTTTAGTCGTGCGAGACAATTGTCGAAAAAATCAAGATAAAAGCATCATGATGGTCACCTTGACCTAACCAACATTAAAAAGTTATCCTCATCCCCTGTAGATGTTCAAATTGTAATCCCTAATAGTAGAGAATGCTTGAACCACAATTCAACACACGTATTCAACACATAATTCCCCGATAGAGTAAACTTGGGGCACTCGAGGAGTTCTATGTGATGTTCAGCATGTAATCCCCATAAAAGACTACCAGAAGCAATACTTGGGCAGTCTAAGAGGTACATGTTTGTCTCTTGATCCCCAAGAAGTTCAAGGTGTATTTCCCCAACATGAAGCAGACTCGGGGCATTCAAAGAGATCCGAGAGATGTTCAACATACAATTCCCTAACACGTTCATTCTACCACCCCTAAGCAGTCCAGGATGTAGGGAAAGTCGGACATGTCATCTCTCCCTAGAAAGCTACAAGTCAATCCCCAACAAAGTTTCCAATAATCTTTGGTACCACAAGCTTTCCAGTGCCAGTTTGTATTAGTATCTCAAGACAACGAGCGAGGGGGCCCAATGAGCCTATTCTTATCCCGACAGAGCCTATTCTTGGCACTCTGCATATAGTAATCATCACTATATCACATTTTATCCTCAAACACATAGCATATCCATTAAAATGGATCATTATTCCATACAAAATTCAATGCATACGAAGCATAAGCCAGATTGGGCACCTTGCACGAAAGACCTGAACCATTTAATAAAATAGGGATACATTCTCGAAGAAAATATCATCCCCACAATCCTTGACTGATATCCATCACTACATTACAAACCTTCTCCTACCTCAGTGCCAATACCATGTACTCCCCAACCTCAGAGTTGATGATAGCCACATCTCCCAACCTCAGAGTTAAAGACAATAAAATCGTTCCTTCCCCAACCGCAGAGTTGAGTTCCACAGAGTTGAGTTCACTCAGACTTTGCACCCCATTCATAGTATTGTTATTGCATGTATTTGTCATCCCAGTCTCAGTACTGACGTCAATATTTTCTTTCCCAATCTCAGTACTAATGTTAATTCATCTTTCCTTCCCAGTCTCAGTACTGATGTCAATCCTTTCTTTCTCCAGTCTCAGTACTGATGTCGATCTATTTTTCCTCAGTCTCAGTATTGATGTCAATATTTTATTTCCAACCTCAGAGTTAATGCCTATCATTTCTTACCCCAACCTCAGAGTTAATGCCTATCATTTCTTACCCCAACCTTAGAGTTGATGCATATCATTTCTTACCCCAACCTCAGAGTTGATGCATATCATTTCTTACCCCAACCTTAGAGTTGATGCCTATCATTTCTTACCCCAACCTCATAGTTGATGCCAATCACTTCTTCTCTAGTCTTAGTACTGATGTCAATCCATTTCTTTCCCAATATCACTACTGATGCCAACTCTTTTGTTTCCCATTCTTAGTACTGATGTCAATCTTTTTCGTTCTCCGTTCTTAGTAATGGCATCAATCTATTTCTTTTCCAGTCTCAGTACTGATGTCAATTCTTTTGTTCTCCAGTCTTAGTACTGATGTCGATTCTTTTGTTCTCCAGTCTCAGTACTGATGCCAATCTTTTTCTTTCTCCAGTCTCAATACTGACGTCAATCTATTTATTTACCCAATCTCAGTACTGATGTGAATCATTTCCTTCCCCAGTCTCAGTATTGATGTCAATCATTTCCTTCCTAGTCTCAGTATTGATGTCAATCTATTTCTTTATCCAGTATTAGTACTTATGTCAATCTATTTCTTTCCCTAATCTCAGTACTGATGTCAATAATCTCTTTCCCCAGTCTCAGTACTGATATCAATCATTCCTTTCTACGCCCTCTTACCTTTTGGGATATAGATCACGCATGAGTAGTGTTCAGGCTGCCATCGATCTTACCTTTCATTATTTTTACCTACTCTTCAGTCACCACATCACCATCAACCGTATTTCCAACCACTATTTCATAGAACAAAGACTCCCCCTGAGAACCTTGTATTGGCGACGTCGCTATGTTACAAGTTATCACCATTCAACCACACTCTCCCACCAACCTTTCATTAGAAAAACAAAATTCTTTCCTCAACAGATATCACAAAAAAATAATAACTCACTCACACCATCTTTTCAGGACAAATTTCAGGTCTTTGTATTTAACATTCTTCTACCTTGAAAGTTCGAAAGGTTGGCGCCAATCCCACCTTCAAGTTTAAGACTATTAAATAGGGGCAGTTGTCATACCCCAAATTTGTCCTACCCCTCTCATATAGATCATCTGGATGATGCATCTCATAATCATCATGTATATACCTTCCATTAAGTCATCTAACACCGCATGTGTTTACTAACAATAAGGCTTGGCACTTGGATCAATGGTCATGGGATTAGGGTTCCACTTAGGCACTAGGGTTTCTCAACTGTTGCAGGGTCATCTCACTTAAAGGTTTAAGGATCATGGGCTAGGGTTTGCCCCTTATACTCAAGGTCATCAAATGAATCTTCAAAGACTGGATTATATCAAAAGTTACTCTTCTCAATATTTTGGCTTCATTCAACACATGAAGTAGCGTCAAGGTTGCATACAAAGCAAGTCACTCACAAGTCACCCAAGGGTCGTAAACTCTGGTATTTAAGGTCTCCTTGCATTCATCATTTTCACATGAATAAGGTTTATTTCCCTAATCATGTTGACTTCAAGAGGAGTTCCATAAGAGGTTCGTTTATCAATGCATCTCATCATGATCGCAAGGCATTCATTCAAAAGGCCTTGAATTTGGGTATGGAAGTTCTTGTGCATCATTGTTCAATTGGATAGCTCTTTTATAGCCTTGGGCTTAGACATGGAGGTTCTTCATAGTCATTTTATTGTGCTTGCAATCATTATTTGCGTTAGGGTTTTTTTCCATATTCATGTGGTGAACAAAAGGCTTTCTTATGAGGTTATATTCATTAGTGAGAAACACAATTCTTTAGTGCATTGCTTGGATTATAAGTTATGGTGCAAGATTTGATGTATGCTGTCAAATTAGAAAAATCAAGAAGGAAGATGTCATAGTTCATTCAAGTTACATGTGGAATTTCAAAGTAAGAATGGAGGACGGAAGTCTCTTTATTTCTTGGAAAAAAAACCTTGTAAAAGAAGTCAATTTGAATTTCTAAAGTTCATGGTAACTTTTCAATAGTGTTTGGCCGTGGCTACAAAGTCACTTTCAAAGAAGATTCAAATCATGGAAACTACTTGAAAAGAACATCATTTTTCAAAAGAATAGTCAAGATTGATTATTTAATAGGATTTATCGACTTGTAACAAGATGAATTTCATTCAAAATTTATAGAACTTACAAAATGCATTCGAGTGCTATCCTATTTTGACTACATTCAAGATTACAAACTTCCATTCCATTTACACCTTGAAAAAATTACACAAAAAGTGAAGATTTCATCAAAATGTTTTTGAACCTATGTGTGTTAATCTTCATGGATCAATGCTTTAAGCTCCACAATTGCATCTAAGTTACCATGTGTATTCGAATTCCATCGTGACAAAAGTATCACAGTGACCTGCATAATCAAAGAAAAAGCATCAAATACCTTGAAGCTATTCACACAAAAAGTCACACTTCAAGATAGGTGCATGGATCAAAGTGTTAGCTAAATTCATGGGCATAGTTTCAAAATAGCTCAAGCCAAAATTCAATACATACAGTACCACGAAGACACAAACAGTTACATGCTGCAGTGGTTTAGACACACACCTTCACCCATCTTGTCTTCAAACCACACTACTTTCACTTTGCCAAGTTCTAAACCTATGCTAAAATTTGCTTATGATCCAAAACCCATGCCATGAAGATCCAAGTCCAGAAAGTTCCTTGCCATATCAATTAAATTCCACACCCATGCATCTAATCCAAAACAGTTAACCAATCCAATATCTGCACCGACAAACCAGCTGTTGTTATTATTCTTGAACCTGTGTAAACCAGTTCACAAATTAACAGTTCAGTTAACTAATTCATCAATCCATTAGAGATTCACAAAAAAACCAGTTCAGGACCCTTCACTAACAAGAAAACAAACATCCATTCATAAACAGTTCCTAACAATTACCCAGTTCAGATGCAACTAACCCTAAACTAACCAACTGTTTTTCCCTTTCACTTTTGACCTTTTAACTAACTCGGTTTCAGCTTAATAACTAACTTCAAAAAAGGCAGTTGCCAGCTCATTCATTTGGATCAAAATCAGTAAAACATTAAAAACAATAAATCAGAGAGAATTGAAAACAAAAGGAATCGCATTTCACTTAAGATTCACTCAACCTTACATGCCATCTCATAATAACAGCATAACAAACTTCCAACTGCTTCAATCTCCACCATCAATTACATAACAGACTCTCCTAATCCAAAGGCTAAGGTTCATTTTCTCTCATAACCGTTTTCAACTACCTTCATCCATCTCCATCACCATTCACCAGATTCATTCACCACTTCTCAGAATCACTCTTCCTTCATCCCTCACAATCTCACTCTCTTGGCACCTTCACTCACCACCTATCTCTCCACCTCCGTCTTCCTCATTCTCTCAACCTCACGCACAACCACCTTCTGCACCTTCCCTTTCACCATTGAAACCTCTGCATCTCCGTCACAGTTTCCCCATCAATTCACTCTCAGAACCTCACTCCCAAACCTTCAGCCTTCTTCATACGGCAAATTATCGATACTCTCAAAGATTCCTCACATCCATACTCTCAGAACTCACTCTCAACTCAGCTCACAACCGAAGCAATACGCAACAGCAGCGCCATGACGCAACACGAACCAACAACACAAGAACACTCAGGATTCAAAGAGGAAGATAAAAGAAGACGAAGAGAACCAGAAGTAGAAGAAGCAGAGAGCGACATCATTACCAGCATTGCTGAGCTACTTTTCAGGTAAAAAATCGATCCCATTCGTTCATTTTGTGGCCGTACGCGCCACTAGGGCGAAGTCTGAGCCTTAAACCGTTGAAGTATTCCGCGAATCATTGATGTAACAAGCTTAGGGTTAGCGTTTGACTTCTTCCATCCTGTTGATTGAAGAAGAATTAGGGAAATCTGAGGTCGGAATCGTGTTCAGAAGATAAGGGTCGTTGTTTGTTCCGCGAGGATTTGGGGGATGCCTCTGCCGGTACAGTTGAAATCGAAAGAAAGGTTTGAAACCTCTGGTCCACTGTAATACGGCGTCGTTCGGTGCTTTGGGCCATCGTTACCTCATTTTCCCTTTGTTTGTTAACTGAATGTATGCAGTTATGTGTGGATCTCTGAATACACGAGCCCAATGAAACTCATACACACACTACTGCTTCATCCAGTACACCCCTTGCTTAGTCTTAATTTTTTGTTTGGTTACTTTTTGCAATTAATTTTTAATGTTTCTTGCATAATTTTTTGGCTGATTTTTTGTGTGAATGTTCATATGTTTTTCCCTGACTTTGTGATATTTTTTGTTGATTTTTTTTATTAGTTTAGGAGTAAATTGATTAAATGTCCAAAATTGATTAGAATTAAGATTTTGACTCGTTCTTGTTGATTCTTCTTATTTGATTCAATCTCTTTAGCATGATGAATGATTAATAAGCAGATTCTGATCTTTGAACAAATGGTTGAGTATATGTTTTTTATTAGGTTCATAAAAAGTCTCATAAAGTTGATAAAAATAAGCTTTATGTTTCATCGAATGTTCTTGTAATTTGCTAGCTTTGTGATAGAATATTGATGCAACTTTTGTGATATGAAATGCTTGAGGATTAGTTTGTTTGATCACTTGTGCAAAGCTTCTGTAGATTTTTCTTATCTCTTGCGTGGCTTTGAAGAGACAACAAGCTTTCTCCGTTAGGTATTATCGGAGCTCTCTTTACTCTCTCATTTAAGCATCATTTTAGTTCTTTCTTCATATGAGAAGTATGATAGAGATGCCATGAGTTGAAGTCTTACCTTTCTAGGCTCTATATTTGCGTAGTTAGGAATCAATTTATCTCACTTTTGGATCTTTTCCCTTGGTCTTAAATCTTGCATGATCATTTGGTTTTCCTTAATTAAGTCTTTACACTTTAGTTCTATTTGTTGCCATTTTGTTTGCTTTGGTAAAGAATGAAGAGTCACTCAGTTTTGCTTCATAGCTGAGATCACGATATCATTCTTTTATTTGCTTTGAACGATGAGTCACTCAGTTTTGCTCCATAGCTGAGATCACAATTTCGGTCATTTTATTTGCTCTTGTTGTGAACGATAAGTCACTCGGTTTTGCTCTATAGCTGAGATCACGACTTCGTTCCTTTTGTTTTCTTTGATTGTGAAGGATGAGTCATTCATTCTTGCACTTTGGCTGAAATTACGACATTTTTCCTTTTGTTTTCTTTATGGTATTTGCTTGTGTTTGTGTGCTTTCACATGTTCCCTTAAGATTATCTTGATTCATTTTAATCTTTGATTAGTTTGATTTGAGACTAAACCTTAGGATTTTATGCCAAGCATGAAAACATAAGTAGAATTCCCTTTCATCCTTACCTTAGGGCCATTTTATATGACAATATTAGGTAGATATCCCCTTCATAAATCTTAATGTTAGGTCCATGATGCATGACAACATTAGGATTAGCTCCCCTTAGTCTTTTTCTTCTTTTGCATTGCATCTTTAAAACTAAAACTCTTTTCTTCTTCAAAATCCAAAAACACTAGATGAGTAAAGATGTGAATCATATGCAATGAGCCTTAAGTGTTGGGAAAATAGTGAGGCGGTGCATTCCTAACCTTACTCTTTCTTTCAACCATGGTCTTTAATATGATTCAATTCTTAAACTCTTTCCAAAATTACAAAAACACCTTACAAATCCAAACTCTTTTTCCTTAGGGCTTTTCTCTATAACTTTTTGTGAAAGAATATGTTAATTCCATTCTATAAAATTCGTGAGTCTCCAAAGGTCGAGCGTCAATAAGATGTAAACTTAACACCGTTCATAAAAACACACAACAAACCAAAAAATTTAGTCGAACTATGGTGCTCTAACTCCTTTTGGATACATAGGCACGAGGTTTCACAACCGAGGCGAGCATAATAATAAAAAACTTTTATTTTTCCCTTAAGAAATTCATTCATGCATTCCATTAGCAAGTAAGCATTAGATATAACACATCTTTTGATAGAACAACAAGAGTGGATCCCATGGAGTACCACAAACGTAAGGGATGCTAATACCTTCCCCTTGCGTAATTGGCTTCCGTACCCTTTCTCTTGGTCGCAAGACCATCTTATCCTTCCTGTGGGGTTTTCTCGATATGTTCTCTTCTTTTGGGATAAATAAATTCCAGTGCCGACTCTGTGTTTTTTTGCGGTGCGACACCTGAGAGTAAAGTAAAGATTAAATGATAATAAGCTTCTCAAAACTTATGGTATGCTACCTGGAACGAGTCTCAGCTTCTTCTTTAACCAAGGTATTACACTTGGAAAGAGTAACATACAAGCTCCTTAGAAGGTAGCCACTTGTTGTAGAGGATCATCAACAACTCTATTGGGGAAACTCAAAATGCGAGAATATTGGATGCACAACAAGCTTCTCAAATAAAGAGAAAACCACTTGTTGGAATTGATAGGTTGGTTGGATCGCAACAACTTTAGAAGGACCCACATCAATCCCGCCACTAGAAATCACATGACCATGAAAACTAACTTCCTTTAGCCAAAATTCGCACTTCGACAACTTTGCATATAATTTCTTTTCCTTTAACACTTGCAACACCATTCACAACTGCTTAGTTTACTCTTCTTCCGTCTTATAATAGATCAGAATATCATCAATAAAGACCACAACAAACTTATCCAGGTAAGAATGAAAAGTTCTATTCATATACTCCATGAAAACACCTGGCATATTAGATACACTGAACGACATTATAGTGTATTCATAATGACCATACCTTGTTTGGAAAGTTGTCTTCGAAATATAATTTGGTTTAACTCGAATATGATGATAACCCGACCTCAAATCAATCTTGCTAAAAACACACACATCTACTAATTGATCCATTAAATCTTCGATCCATGAAAGTGGATACTTCTTCTTAATCGTCACTTTGTTCAACTGTTTGTAGTCTACACACAACCTCATAATTCTATATTTCTTCTTAACTAGAAACACAAGAGCACCCCATGGTGAAACACTCGGTCAAACAAACTTCTTCTCGAGCATCTCTTCCAATTGTTTCTTCAACTTGCTCAGCTCTAAAGCTGACATTCTATAAGGAGTCATCGACACTAGACTTGTACCTGGCACCCAATATATAGAAAACTCCACTTCATGTTCATGAGGTAAATTACTAATGTCATCTGGAAACACCTCTGGAAATTCACAAGCAACAGGTAATTCCATATTCGCATATTTTCCATCAACTTGCAACGATGCAAACATTTCAAACATCAAGGCTTCATCTTCTAAAAGATCATGCACTTGCCTAGCGGTTAACAACATCAATTCTCCATTATCACCAAACTTAGGAAACCTCAAAGTCTTATTATAACCATTGATATGAACATAGTTGAACTCCAACCAATTCATCCCAAGGATAACATTGATTTGGTGTAAGGGAAGACACACCAAATCCATCACAAAACTCTTGCCATAAATAGTCAAAGGACACTTCAAACAAACGTAAATAGTAGTAACAGAACCACTAGTAGGAGTATCTATTACCATACTACCATTCATATAAGACAATTTTAATTCCAACTCAGTAGCACATTCAAGTGAAATAAATGAATGAGTAGCACCAGTATCAATAATAGCAACCAATTTAACATCGTTAATAAATCAAGTACCTCGAATCAAGTTGTCCTTCTTAGAATCCTCTGACCCACTCAGAGCGAAGACTCTACCATTGGTCTGGGTAGTAGCATCCTTCTTTTGGTTTCTGACACTGGATATTGATATGACCCTGCTCTCCATAACTGAAATAAGTCGGACCATCGCTCTTGCATTCAGGAGCACGATGACCGGACTTACCGCACTTGTAACACCTCAGCACCTTATTCTCACATTCGTTGGATCAGTGACCTTGTTCCCCACACCTATAGCACTTGATAAAAGCGCGGGGGGGGGGGGGATCTCCCACTTGTCTTCTTCCCATCATAAGCATTATGTTTCCCTTTATCAGTTGGGGCATCATAAGGCTTCTTACGATCTTGATATTTCTTTCCTCTTTTCCCATTCAAACTCTTGTAGTGAGATGAATGAGCTTTGATATCCTCTTCATAGATTCTACAACTATTCACCAATTTTGAAAACACACGGATCTACTGATACCCAATCGTCTGCTTGATCTCCGAACGCATACCATTCTCAAACTTGATATACTTTGAGAACTCAACAATTGCCTCACTGTAATATGGATAAAACTTCGTCAGTTCCATAAATCTTGAAGCATACTCACTCACAGTCAAACTTCCTTATTTCAACTCCAAAAACTCAATCTCTTTCTTCCCACGCACATATTCAGGAAAATACTTCCTCAGAAACTCCCTGCTAAACACAACCCAAGTAATCACTTCACCGACAGTTGTCAGTCTTTGACGAGTTCCAACCCACCAATCATCAGCTTCCTCTGTCACTTGATGCGTACCAAACCACACATTCTACGCCTATGAGCAATCCATGACTCTAAATATTCTCTCAATCTCCTTGAGCCAAACTTGTGCTCCATCAGGATCGAACCTACATTTGAAAAGAGACAGATGATTCATCTGAAACGTCTCCAAAACACGGGATCCATCATTAGGCTGATGTTTCATAGCTTGAGCAATAGTTTGTAAAGCAGCAACAAGTGTAGCATCGTTCCTTCCAACCATTCTATGTTTCACATCAATAACAGTCACAATGGTTAGAACTATCTCGAAAATATTCCACTGTCACACACTACAG